CCTGGCCGGCCGATCGCTCTGCGCCCCACCCAGGAGCCACCTCCAGCGCCGCCTGCGCCGTGTGCTGAGACGGCATTGCGCGCGGCGGTTCCCCTCCCCAGCACCCTCGTTCTGTGTTCCCCCCCTCTATGAGAGGACGGGGCGGGGGGGAGGATGAGGGGGGCAGGTGAGAATGAGTGCACGAGTAGCGAGCGAGCAGGGAGGAGCGATGAGCGCGGAGGAGGGGTATGCGGGGTGGAGGAAGAGAGGGGGAGGGGTTGGATGAGGACCAGTTTAAACATACAACTCAACGCTGTTGCAATTACCCTTCCTCCGATATCCCTCTTCATGTGCCCCTACAGGGTTCATTTTCACGGAAGAAAGTGCCCCGTCGAAAGACAACCGTTTGAATCTGTTGAGCGGTGCCAGCACACTAATCCTGCGACGTCAATGCAGCGACTCAAAATTAGTGTTGCGTCTTGAAGATCCCGAGTCGCGCCATCGTACGATCCTGGGACTCCAACACGAATCAACGTTAACCGTTGGGACCTGACAGTCCGACATCGTGCGCCCAAACGCAGTTTCTGGGATATTGACCCTGTGAATCTTTGTAACTACGGTAAACTCTTCGGACGAATGTGCGCCGCGCTAAGGCGAGCTCCACATGCTGAAAAGGAGCCGCCCTCCATACGTGGTGCTCTTGTCATGTTTAAAGACGGGTGGGTGAGACGCTAAGGCGAACATCGCACCTCGCAAACGACTACCCTCCATCTGTAGGGCTTCTGCGAATTTCGAAGGCCCCAACCGCATTTTGAAACGGAACAGCCTTTCATCTGTGAAGCTCTTGCGCATTGCTAAGACGAGTGTGCTGGGCTCTAGTGCGTGAGCCATCTTTTGAAACCTGCCCGCCGTCCATCCGTGAAACCTTCACATTTGTTCCCAACCATCCTGTGGTGTTGGGTTCGCGTTTTGAAGAGACGGTCCCCGCGTTCCTTCATTCCTCTTCCCTCTCCTCCTCCCTCCTCCCGTCCCCGCACACATTTCGGTACACCCTTCACGTTTCGTGGCCCCATAAGGAACTCCACCGAAGGCCCCTGTAGCTGCGCCCGCATGCGCCCCCCACGCTCAGTTCGGCACAGCCCTTGCTTGTCTCGTGACCCCATAGGGATCTTCACCAAAGGCCCCAGTGGCTGCGCCCGCATGCGTCCACCACATCCATTTCGGCACACCCCTCACACGTTGCATGGCCCCAAAGGGAGCTCCACCGAACGCCCCAGTGGATGCGCCCGCATGCGTCCACCACATCCATGTCGGCACGCCCTCACACGTTTCGTGGCCCCATAGGGAGCTCCACCGAGACGCCAGTGGCTGCGCCCGCATGCGCCCCCCCCCCACACCCATTTCTACACCCCCCTCACACGCTTCGTGCCCCCATAAGGATTTCGACCGAAGGCACCAGTGGCTGCGCCCGCCTGCGTCCCCCACGCCCATGTCGGCACACCCTTCACACGTTTCGTGGCCTCATACATTTCTCCTCTACCCGAGGCCTAAGTGCCACCGTCCACATGCCCCCCCACACCCATTTCGGCACACCCCTCACACGTTTCGTGGCCCCATAGGGATCTCCACCGAAGGTCCCAGTGCCACCGTCCACATGCCCCCCCCGCGCCCACTTCGGCACACCCCTCACACGTTTCGTGGCCCCCATAGGGATTTCCACCGAAGGCCCCAGTGCCACCGTCCACATGCCCCCCCCCCCGCGCCCACTTCGGCACACCCCTCACACGTTTCGTGGCCCCATAGGGATCTCCACCGAAGGCCCCAGTGCCACCGCCCGCATGCGTCCCCCACACCCATTTCGACCCCCCCTTCAAGCGTTTCGTGGCCTCATAGGGTGCTCCACAGGACGCCCCAGTGCCACCGTCCGCATGCGTCCGCCGCACCCATGTCGGCACACCCTTCACAGGATTCGTGGCCCCATAGGGAGTGTCACCGAAGGAGATATTCAGAATTGCGGTACTCACACCTGCACATGGTTGGTTTTTTTTCGCCAGGCTAATTTAAGACGGATGTGCGTGGCGCTACTTAAGGCGAGAGCCACATGTTGATAACGACCTGACTTCCTTCTGAAGCTGTTGCAAAGTTTCAGCTTCAGGGTCCTTAGTGGTGAGGAAGGAAGTTTCCTGCAAATTGAGCCCGTGGCCCCCTGTTTACAACATCGGTTCCCGCTGGATATGTATTCACCATTTATTTCCCGATCGCGATTTCGCGCTGGACTCTTGACCATTTAGTCACGAATCGCGTTCTCGCGTGGGACATCATCGCAATGTATTCACATGCCGCGCCGTCGACACCCAGGACTCTTATTCTTGCTGTGTATTTCCTCACGCTGTATTTGGAACTGTCGCTGTCGTTCGAGACTTCCTCACGATTCATTCCGAACGCACGCTTCAGCAACCCGCCTGCTCGACTTGGCCGCCTGGGCCCGCTTTCCCGACCCGCCCGCTAGGGTCTACCCGCTCGATTTGCCCGTCTGGTTCTGCCACGTGTTCTTTTGTTTTTTCGCCATCTTCTTGCTGCTCTCCCCCGTGATCTTTCATTCCTGTGTCCCTTTCTTCCTTTCGTCCTCTTTTCCCTTGCCTTACGGGCTGCGCGAAACACGCATCGCAGGTGAGGGGGCACGGTCGAAAACGAAACGGGCGGGTGTCGAGGGTTTGGGATATACGTGTTGAGTGGCCTTCAGCTGATTGTTGTTGTTGTTGTTGTTGTTGTTGTTGTTGTTGAATATTATTACTTCTAAAGAATAATTATTGTTGGGCCCCCTGGTGCACGCCCCCCTCGCCGCGCCTAGGCCGCAGCCACATTTTCATCATTTTCGTGAGGAAGTCTCAGGCAAAACGGGGGAGTCCGGATCCGGTTGTTTTGTTGACGCCCGCTTTCCCTGTCAAAAAACAATATAAAATGACATGTCTTGTTCTAACATAGCCAAACTTCAAGAATCCTTTGCAACAAATGACACGAAGTGCACACTCGCGCGCGCAAGATGAAATCCTTCCAGAACCTTAGTTTTCGTAGCGATTTTAACATAAAAACATGAAAAACCCAATGGTTTTTCAAAAAAAAAGTTTCAAAAATTCATCCCGCGCGCTCTTGCGGATTTCTTAGGAAACCCAATACTTTTTCAACATTTCTGTCAAACGGGCTCTTGCGAGCAACTTTTTCACGTGCTTCGAACTTCTGCAACAACGGTTGCGCGCCTGCCAGGGCCATCATCCCTGTCAAA